CAGCCTTAAATGTGACAGGTGTCTCTCAGTCATACAGTGAGGGAAAAAAGTATTTGATCCCCTGCTGATTTTGTACGTTTGCCCACTGACAAAGAAATGATCAGTCTATAATTTTAATGGTAGGTTTATTTGAACAGTGAGAGACAGAATAACAACAACAAAATCCAGAAAAACGCATGTCAAAAATGTTATAAATTGATTTGCATTTTAATGAGAGAAATAAGTATTTGACCCCCTCTCAATCAGAAAGATTTCCGGCTCCCAGGTGTCTATTATACAGGTAACGAGCTGAGATTGGGATCACACTCTTAAAGGGAGTGCTCCTAATCTCAGCTTGTTACCTGTATAAAAGACACCTGTTCACAGAAGAAATCAATCAATCAGATTCCAAACTCTCCACCATGGCCAAGACCAAAGAACTCTCCAAGGATGTCAGGGACAAGATTGTAGACCTACACAAGGCTGGAATGGGCTACTAGACCATCGCCAAGCAGCTTGGTGAGAAGGTGACAACAGTTGGTGCGATTATTCGCAAATGGAAGAAACACAAAATAACTGTCAATCTCCCTCGGCCTGGGGCTCCATGCAAAATCTGACCTCGTGGAGTTGCAATGATCATGAGAACGGTGAGGAATCAGCCCAGAACTACACGAGAGGATCTTGTCAATGATCTCAAGGCAGCTGGGACCATAGTCACCAAGAAAACAGTTGGTAACACACTATGCCGTGAAGGACTGAAATCCTGCAGTGCCCGCAAGGTCCCCCTGCTCAAGAAAGCACATATACATGCCCGTCTGAAGTTTGCCAATGAACATCTGAATGATTCAGAAGACAACTGGATGAAAGTGTTGTGGTCAGATGAGACCAAAATGGAGCTCTTTGGCATCAACTCAACTTGCCGTGTTTGGAGGAGGAGGAATGCTGCCTATGACCCCAATAACACCATCCTCACCGTCAAACATGGAGGTGGAAACATTATGCTTTGGGGGTGTTTTTTCTGCTAATGGGACAGGACAACTTCACCGCATCAAAGGGATGATGGACGGGGCCATGTACCGTCAAATCTTGGGTGAGAACCTCTTTCCCTCAGCCATTGCATTGAAAATGGGTCGTGGATGGGTATTCCAGCATGACAATGACCCAAAACACACGGCCAAGGCAACAAAGGAGTGGCTCAGGAAGAAGCACATTAAGGTCCTGGAGTGGCCTAGCCAGTCTCCAGACCTTAATCCCATAGAACATCTGTGGAGGGAGCTGAAGGTTCGAGTTGCCAAACGTCAGCCTCGAAACCTTAATGACTTGGAGAAGATCTGCAAAGAGGAGTGGGACAAAATCCCTCCTGAAATGTGTGCAAACCTGGTGGCCAACTACAAGAAACGTCTGACCTCTGTGATTGCCAACAAGGGTTTTATCACCAAGTACTAAGTCATGTTTTGCAGAGGGGTCAAATACTTATTTCCCTCATTAAAATGCAAATCAATTTATAACATTTTGACATGCGTTTTTCTAGATTTTGTTGTTGTTATTCTGTCTCTCACTGTTCAAATAAACCTACCATTAAAATTATAGACTGATAATTTATTTGTCAGTGGGCAAACGTACAAAATCAGCAGGGGATCAAATACTTTTTTCCCTCACTGTATAAGCACGATCTTCAGCGAAAGAGGAAACACCAAACATTTGCAGATGAGAGCTCAGAGCCACGTGTGACACTTAAGGGGAGGGAGACGTTCAAAATAGAAACATGTTATGTTGTCATTGATAAGCTAGTGGCATGCCTTGAACATCGCTTGGATGATTACAAGCGTTTGTCCAGTCTCTTTGGAGTTATGTTTATGTCAAATCAGGTGTCTAACAGTGATGTCATAGTGGAAAAGGTCAATGCACTCTCCACTGCATATCCATCAACGAACTCATCCAATTCAAGTCTTTCATGTCTGACTCTGAGGGTGAGAAGTGCCCAACTCAATTACTTGAGACGTTGCAGGCACTGCATGTGCAGTCAGTGTTCTCCAATGTTTTCGTGGCACTTCGGATTTTTTTTTTACTTTACCAGTGACAAACTGCCAGGGTGAGCGGACATTTTCCCTTTTAGGCAGAATAAAAATGAGCAAACACGTCTCAGCTCATTGCCACCTATGTCAATAGAGTCATACCTTGTCAGACAGCTAGATTTGGACGATCTAGCGGATGATTTTGCGAGGAGGAAGGCAAGAAAGACAACAATATAGGAAAGCGGGGGAGGGGGGGGGGGCTCCAAAAGACATGTACCCAGGGGCCTCACGGGACCATGATCCGGCCCTGCTGAAAGGCATCCATTTCGTGTGTAATTTAAGACGGAGTCACCATGAAACTTCGACGAATCTGAAATCCGCGTGAGCTCTCTCGGAGATTAAAACGGCGACACGGCGCATAGAGCTGCCAGGAGCGCTGCAATAAACGTGGGAGCCACGTGACGGGATGTGTGGCACTCACCGGAATAAAAGAGGGGGAGATGTTGGGCCCTCAGGTCAAAACACATCGTCGCAAATCAGATTAGACCACAAAGTGCGATTATGTTCGCGCCTAAGTCCACTGTACGAGGGTATTTATTTATTATCGTAATCTGGGAGGGTGTTCGGGTTAGTGCGTATGGGGCTGGGGAGCTTAGGAGCCGCACCGTTTAGCATCACACTCTTCTACAGGCACGGTGCTGGAGTCCATGCGCACTATTCGTAGCATGTGCTCGACCTCCACTATATGACAAGTTAGCCTGGCGCAGTATTATAATTTTTAGCACTGGGAAAACAAAGACGGCCATATGTGGTTTGGTTTCACCACCCCCTCGTTTGTCAGCCAACCAGGATTTTCCCCAACCAATGCTTTATTTTGTTAATGAAGCACTTCACCTGGAAACTCGATCTAGGTTGATACAGAGCACACACGGAGAGTGACGCGCAAACACACACGGCGACAAAGGGGATCGTTTTTGTAGCTTCTTGTCCCATTGTGTGTGTATAGCACACTGGCCAGTCGAGACAAGACTGCTCTATTTTTTTCTTACAGAAAAGATGAATTTAACAAAAGTTGGGAGCTATGAATGCATAATAATAGCTTCTGAGTGCAAAAAAGTGAAACATCTTATTCCTTTACATCAAGTGACTATCTTCGTACGTAAACAGGAAAAATACAATTATATTGAGTCTGTCAGCCTCTCCTGAGCAGCCAGTGATCTCTTCACCTGATTCTGCTGTGCTGGGTAATGGCCATTGGCGCTTTCACGGACAGTACGACATGCACTATGTACTGCCGTGGTGTATTGTTCGTAATATAGTTATTAAATAGTAGACAAGGGTATATTTTTACCGTGTCGAAATGAAATAATGTTACGTTGTGGTCCTATGAGTCTACTGCACCAGCGTTTTGTTGGAGATTTCCCTTTTGTCACAATCTAAGGCATGCACAAGGACCGATCTCATCGCTCCGCTGCTACACTGGGCGTCCGCTCGAGCAAGTCCCATCCTTTGGCTGTAATTCTGTCACCAGTCTCGTTCATTGGCAAATTCCCTTCCAGTGACCACTTCTGTTTGCACAACATGCAGACAATGCCACGTCTCTAACTTGTTTGTTCCACGATACATTTATTCCTATTTCTGTTTGTCCACGTATATTTTTTGTCATGCATTTATCAAATCCTATTTTCACACTTGTCAAGTTTTGTTCCATTTTGTAACTAAATATCGATGTTTCTGATCCATATTCCCTGATTGCATACTTTATTACAAATGTAGTGTCAGCGGAGCGGGAGACAAGGTTTTTCAGGAGCACCTTCTTTATTAACGCCTTCAGGTTCACAGGTTCGCCTTCGTGCTCTCCCTAGTCATCTAGCCGAGCATTAACACAACCCTCATCGTCAAACACCCACAGTTCCTCCGCCCTGCCGACACAGCCGTGTAGATGCTAACCAGCGTGTGTACTACTCGTCCACCGCAGTTGCCATTGCTGGACAACAGTCGGCGCTATTACACTGCACATACAGTACCTTAATTTGTTCATTTTTAATATTTAATTAAAACGTCTAAACAAAGTTCTGCTGTTGCTCGACATTTCATGTAATTTTAATCCAGATCTGATTTTGATAAATTCCTTAGGTACAATATATAGCTATACTTATCATTTTAATACATCTGTTGTACATTGTGTTTTGATCATATTTATCTTAATTCCACGTTGCAGGCTTCTTTATGAACTTTTTAAAAATTTGCTGTGGTTAATTTTTATTACTTGTTAGAGGCATTTTCTTAAAATTTTGTACACTCTCTCTGTTTGTTTATGCCTTTGTTTCTCAAATCCACTTTTCAATTCAGTTTTAATACATTTACATTTTCATGAAATGTTTGAATGTTGTGAATATCCCATGAAAGTATATCTGATATGTGTTTTACAATATGTTTATGCAACCTCTGTATAGCGGATTCTCACCTGTGTATTCCCCTCCTGTTGTATGAATACTGTTACCAAAATGTCTCCATTCGTTACCTCCATTGGCGCGGTGATTTGTTTATATTCCTCTGTACGAGCTATAATTTGCGATTTACCATTTATCAGTCTTGCAGATTTTATGTTCTCATTTTGTAATGACATATTCAATCACCTGTACTCTAAACATGTATTTCAATTCTTTCATGAATGGTCTTCTGTGTATCCTGTCACGAAATCAACTCATTTTGCACTCTATAATGCACAAAGACAGGTGTTATTAGACTTTTGCTAAACTAACCACATGTATAAATATGCACTTAAAATGCGTATCATAGGATATAACGATTTGTGGAACAATATCACATTTAATATATCTAACTTACAGCTTCAGAATAATTGGAGCGGCTGAGTGTTAGTGCTAATCTTGGCTGAGCTGGGGTCTCTCAGTTGCTCAAATGCACTGGCCCAGTGGGGGTTGGGTTAAGGGGAGATTGTGACAACACTGAAATAACCAAGACAGGGAGAGACGGAGAGAGAGGGGAGAGCCGAAAGAGCGAGAGAACCAAGAGATGCCGAGATAAGGGAGCGCTGAAACGGACAGGAGCTCTGGGATACACATATATGATGGGAGAAGCAATACTAGGAAATATAATATATAGCCAAGGAGACAAAGCATAAAAGGGAGAGTTGGGCGAGTCTGAGAGCCAACATAGTAGACACGAGAGCAGACAGTGAAAAGTGAGAGCTGCAATGCATCCCAGATAGTCACCATGGGAAGCCCCTCTGCTTCCATCTTCGTTGTCGCTTCACTGCTGCTGCTGTCGCCATCCACTGCCCTTTCCGAGGACCAGAGGATGGAGGCTTCGACTGCCCCCCCAAGCGGCAGTGCCAGGTGGCCACTTGGCATTGATTTATCGTTGTGTTACTGTCGTCGTTGAATTAGGACGGCGTGAATTGCGCTTACAGTGGATGTCTAACATTACTCTTTTGAAATGATCGTTTGAATTAACACAACGGTATAAATGTGTAGTAAATACGTTTTCTACACTCTGCATTTGAAAATACCATGCATGTCGTACTGTTATTTTCAGCGTTGTGGATATTAAATAAGTAATGGTTTTATTTTTTAAATCAATTTTAGGGCTGTTCCAAAATGACAAAAGGCAGAATTAGTTTATGCCCCTCTGATACATCACGCTGTGCAAATATGTATGATTAACTTTTGCAAATATGATTGATCGTAGTCTTGGTTCATGGGGTCATTTTATAGCTCAAACCACAGTCAAAATTGTTCATCTTAATCAACATTATCCTAATTCCGCGGCTCTCTGGCAGCATAATGATTAACATTCGGCTCATAACCTAGGTTCCCTATTTCGTCGGAAAAACGTTGTTACTCTACATTTTGCAATTTCATTGTGGTATTTGATGTGAATTTGACCAATTGAGCATGTTTTAATTCGTAATTTAGCAAAGGTGTTCTTTGCTATGTATTTGTGGTCTACCTTCATATTAGGTTATGTGAATTGTGGTAGCACTGCTTGAAATTGATCTCAAATCCAGAATCTGTCAAATGCTCCAATGAGGCGCTTGAACACACGTAGAGTAACTCGATATTTGTGGTCTAGAGGTTCGATGAGGTGCCCTTGCTGCTGCTACCCACCTAGGTTATAGGAAAGATGGACACCTTCGTATTAAACACTTCTTGACATTAGTGTAGTGAGTCCAACTGAGTCGCAAACATTCTCTTGGGAGCAACACGTTTTATTAAACTCTTAGCACAACATACTCCAAGTTATTAACACAACACACTCTCGGGTGGTGGCCACCCAACTAACCACGCTACGGCAGAACTGGACACGGTTCCACTATCCCGGTCCGGACCACGAGCTGGGTCCCGGACTGCGTGGCTGGAGGCTTCTTCAAGCTTGACGTGGATCTGCTGCCTCTCCAACAGCAAGAACCCCGAGCCCCTCTCAGGGCCCCCCTTATATCGGGCCGGGCTGGGGCTGGCTCCGCCTCTCGCCCCGCCCACCTTCTCGATCTCTCTCGCCCCCTTTCCCGAAGGCTCTCGAAAGTTCTTCTCAGACCATGTGACCACCCATTGGCCCCCTCCATCGGTGGCCCCCCTCCAGTATCATTCTGTCACATGTCCCCAGGTCAGCCAGAATATCATGCCCCCAACGTAACCCTAGCTGGCTGACACTCTCTCGCTGTCGCAACGGGAGCCCGCACCGCACGCTGTGCGTGGTGCCACCGCGCATGACCAGCGATCCCCCAAGCCCCCACTAGGGCTGGTACTACACCCCGCGTCCGGGGTGTAGACACAACAGTATACATCCCGCCGTGGCCTCGCAAGCCCGGCACCACACAGTGACATTCCCAGTCACTACATTAGCATTAGTGGGCAACACTCGGCACCGGCAGATATCCATGTTGACAATATTTACACCCCCCCCCCCCCGCATCTCGGACCAGCCCTCAAAATTGGCATTGACCCAAATCCAATCCAGCAGAGAAGAGCCTAGCCAACCACGTACCTCGAAGCTGCACTCGCTGGCATCACACGGATGCTGCGAGCGGCTCAAGAAGGCAGAGAGTGGGTCTTGGCGGCCAAGACGTTGAAGAGGACGAAGGAGAAGAGACCGAAAATGGTCCCGGGTTACTCTTTGTATTCCCATAACTTCAAAAGCCGGGGTGACGTCGTACCACGCGGCCAATCGTGCGCCTACCTGTGCTTACCGCCCCCTGTTACAGTGTCCTCCTTGGGGGGCCGCGGTGGCGGCGCCGACCACCCATTGTCGCTCGTTGCTCATTGTCTGGAAGGGTGCCCGGCTGGCGAACACACACCCTGCGAGTGTGTATTCAGTATGGGGGTTGGGAGGGGGGGACAGAGGCGCTGCAATTCTCGTGACCTCATGGTCTGCTCTTCTTGCTTAATATTCCACCCTCAGTCCCTCCCGATGTCGTGAATAACTAACTGCGGCTCCAGTGAACCTTTTCTTTTTGCGCCCATAGAATCTTAAGCCAACTCAGGGGCACCGCAATGTCATCTGTCCTGCGAGGGGCGGCCAATCTCACGACACTGGGAAACCGTGGGACTTTCCTCCTAGAGACCCATCGGATGAAACCCCGTTGCACCAGGCGACCCCCTACCAGGACACTTCGTGTGCGCACTGCGTGTGTGTGCTCAGGGTGGGGGGCAGGGGGGAGTCGTGGCGCTTGCAGAGTTGCTCGAAGGCCGTGGCACCACATATGCCCATGGCATTGGATGGCCAAGTATGGCTGCCATAATGGAGGCCTCTGGGGGCCATGCCATTCAACAACCGAGCCAACTTGCTCCGAGTGGCCGTAAAGCCATGGCATAAGTAGCTTGGTGGAGGGTTTGCTAAATAATAAATACCCAGTCGGCCATTTGAAATAAGGTGAAGCAAGATTCAAAAGTGTACAAAGGAAACCTCACAGAGCAAGATTCAGAGCACAGAGCTTGTAATAATTGTTTCACTTCCTTTGTGGTCCTGACTGCTTCCAGGAGGAGGCTACCATTCTACTTTGTTCCAGCGACCCTTCCTGGGCAAGAGGCATGGACAGGTGCACTCACATGTTGTCACAACATAATCCATGAGGTCACACCTTTGTCTCTCTTGCACGTCACGTATTTTGAACTGGCTAATTTGTATTTCACCAACTCAGATATACAATTTTAATGTTTTTAATGTCCACAACTCTGCCACACAATACAATTTTGAACCACATCTCTAGTTGTTAATCAATTATCGATATTTAAATAATCATTTTCGAAATTGATTATCATTTCAGAAAAGAATGAGATTAATAATTGAATCCAATTAAATGTTAGTGACTTGGAATTGCTTGATACTCGCAGACTTTATAAATGGCCGCTGTGTTGGAGTGTGAAAGGTCAGTCGCAGACATGATGGGCACCAATGGATGGCAGGCCTTGTAAACGGCTTGGTTGTTTCAATACACATTCAACTGATTTGCACAACCAAAATAAATAAAAACCCTACTACATTACTACTCCGGTTTATGTCTCCCCATTTTATGTCGTTTCGCAAATACGTCGTCACTTTATTAATCCACTACCCTGATTTATGTTGCCTCAACCCATAATTACATTGCTAATAGCATCCGTCCATTCTCGTATCCGTCACGCCGGCCTTAAACTCCACCTACCTGTACAGGAACTACTTTGCGTCGTGCATAATGAAATATAGTGTAGACTACAATGTATATAATTTACGTACAATATTTTGGTGATTTTTAGAATGGTATTGTACTCTGTATAATTTGTGTTAAAGTTTACTGCTGTGCACTAGTGTTGAGCAGTATTTTTTGTAATTTAATGTAAGATTTGAACATTAACACAGCTTCACCATACCTGCTGTCTTTGTTTAGCTCATGTGCCAACATCGCTTTGATTTACGTCGTTTCGATATTTGTCATTGCACCTTTCAGGAACGGATCCCCGACGTAAACTGGGGTATTACTGTATTTGGTTGACATTTTGAGCGAGCCAGATAGAAGCCAGATAGAAGCTTGGTTCTCTGAAAGGTCTCTAGTATTTTCAGTTTTACATTGAAACTTTACAACACTAACATAAAATGTTTTAAATATGATTTCACCCATTCTCTGAACTATTTGGATTATTCTATGTAATTATATAAAAATGTAATACAGCATTTAAAATAACATATTTTAAAATAACATTTATAATAATTTAAGAGTTTCTATTTTTAACATTATAATTGTATTATATATGAAAGAAGATGCATACAAATCGCCCAATGTTTTAATTTCCCCAGGACAACTGAAGAAATTGAACATGTAGTTCCACATTCCTTATATGATTTGCCTGCCATGCAGCCTTAGGCCCAGTTACGTTTTCAACCACCTTGCAGGGGTTCAGTCTGTGAGCATATTGATCAGTAGAGGCACATGGAAGTTACTTCAGTGACATGAGTTGTCAACGAGAACATATTTACAAATCACGTGAAGCAAAATGAACACACTCGCAGCCATGCATATAATTTCAGAAAAGACTTCTGCGAAGAAACGGAGCCATGTTATATTATGCAGACAAAGTCATTGGAGCCGAGTGACTAAGCAATGTCTTAGGCAGAATAATTGAACGTTTGGAGTGCAAAGAGAAGAATGTGAGCGATAGATGTTTTTTAACAAGAGACAATTCAAAGAGTCGAGTGCTGAGAAGGCTTCCACGGTTTTGAATCATGGTGAATATGTGAGACGTGAAAGTGATTCGATGTCCAGGTTGAATAGCATCGGATTAGATGATATAGTTGAAAACAACATCGCTGTGACTAAGCGAGGGACTGCCAAATAACACTTCCAACACAACCAGTAATAGCAACGGCCACGGCCATTGTCGTGGAATGAGAAAAGTAAAACTAAACAATAATTTCTTCAGAAACAACATTGTCAGTGCCAATAACATGGCATACACCGGCAATAAAATCAACACCTATGTATGTATGTTGGACTTTCGCACCGTGTGTAGCCAATCATGCTACTCGGAGCTGCGGGGAAGGATAACAAACTAAACACAAACAGCAGTTATAAAGAAATGATTCAAAACTAATTTATTCTAATATCTTTCAGAGGCTGCTGCCCGTGGTAGCTCGCCTCGCAGTGGTAGTCAAGCATCAAATCACAGCGTTTGCTCCCCCACAGACACGATGGTGCGTGATACAACAACAACAACACGTTCCATCACGAATCAGCTACCCCTTGGATTCCTGACAAAGAACTCTGGGAAGAAAGAAAATGGAATTCAGCCAAGGCAATATAATCGTACACGGCGCGATCAACCTGGGGCAAGATCCCCAGCAATGGGAGATGCTGGGGCAAAGGGCTTTGATGGCCAAATACAGGTGAGGATGTATTCAGCCTGTCCCCATATACATTGAATACAGATTCTTGATTAACCAAACATTAATTAACCAAAGCCGGAATATGTTAACTACCTTGCCTGGTATACAGGGAGTTGTGGATTCGATCCCGACCCTGACGCCCTCATATTCTTGGCTTCCCTTACACTTGCTGAGTGTCTAATTCCCTTATCACAATATAAAATTAGCGTGCTTGGTGTCCTATGTTTAGATCTAGCCACCCATCATTATAATTAGGTTATACATTTTAACAGGTGAACTATTCTGTGGGTCTTTCGGTAAAGCCACGTAGATAGAAAAATAATAAAAATATCACGACGAAACAGGTGACCTGTTTCAGCCTAATCTCCACAGGCTACTTTATATATATAATGGGATAATGTTTCATGTAGTCCAGTTCTGAGTTCACATTAATTACTATGTCTGTCAGATTAATGACATGTGGAAAACCAAACTCTACACAAATTGAACATAGAATCAGATCAGCGTTTGCAGTGGGTTCGTTATTGATATTTTGGGACTGTTGTGAGTCATGACGTGACTCCAATTTCAGAGTTCTTATATAATTGGTGATACAATGCATATATAATAATTTTAATAAGCATATCTCACCCGGAGGTGCTGTACAGAACTTAAAAAAACTATAATGGAAATGTGTTTCGTCCAGTAATTTGTGACAAATCTCGGACGACCAACTTGCTTCACAAGAGAACCCAGTTTACAGCTGCATTGATTTGAACCCTGGATATCAACTAGCCTGGTTGAAAGCTGCGACCACAAGCCACCACTGCGAATGTGGCGATTTTATGTCAAGTGATATTTAAATGGAAAATAATATTTGAAGAGAATGTAGTAACTAGCGTTGTATTTGTAAATGCAAAACTAAACATTAATGATGTTCACGCATACAGACCTCAACTCGACCTTTACAGGACTCCTCAAGCCCAGGAATCCTGGTACATTCGGTGCGCGTGCTTGGGGACACAGATCACAGTGTCGTTCTGGCGTGGCGCGTGGGGCCCATGAACGGGGACATGAGAAGATCACACGGAGCTGACGGCATCATTGGGCCTACAGAGGAGATTAGAGCTCGAGATCCAGACGGTGAGCGAGAAGGAAGAACGGAAAATGAAGAGGGAGGCAGCACTGTCAAAGAAAGGGGAACTGGGAGGGGAACTGGAAGGCGAGGACGGATGGGAGTTCCTGGGTCTGCAGGGTTCAGCATCTTGTACGCACGCCTGGGCGAGCAACAGATGCGTCGCTTGCACGTGCCGCCTGACCACACACGTGCCACAGTGCCAGGCCTGGAGCCGTATGCCCCGTACGTGGCTTGTGTGGTAACACGGAGTGGCATTGGTAGAAGGTGGCAGCACATGCCGCGACGTGAGCAGTGCGTGGTGTTCTCCACCGATGAGGCGGCACATGCCGCAAGCACGCAGCGCTTCATCAACGCTGTGGTGGCGTGTGTGGCCGGCGTCATCAGCGCACCACTCGCCGCACTGCTATGCTGCGGTGCGGTCAAGCGCCGATGTCGGCGGATGTATGGCCAGCGCTGCCAAGGCACGGGAAGATGCGGGAGGGGGAAGGGGGCGGGTGGGGAAGGAAGTCGCAACGTCATGCTCGAGGGTGTACCAGTGTGATCATTGAGTGGCTCTTTATTTGGTTTAAGTTATCTCGCATTGTGATATATTGAGTTTTGAGCTTACTTTCCCCCAAAAAACTGAAGAGCACAGATTCGATATTCATTTACTCATCGTAATAACAATTACATATTTAAGAATGCACATCTAGTGGTGCACATCTTTAATGACAACTGCCATTTTACCCTGGTCTCAGACTCTAATTGTGGTTTATTAAACCTTCTAAAATAAGTTAAGCTATACAAGCCTCACCTGTGTTCGCTGAGACATAGTATCACGTGGTCTATAATTGAATACAATCTGTAGGATCTAACCAAGATTCTCCAATATATTATTATTCCACTAAAATTTCAAGCATGTGTAGTGACTGTACCTGTCACTGTTTGGTGCCGGGCTTGCGAAGTCACGGCCGGTAACGGTGTGATTACGGGCAGCCCGGGTTACGGGCTGCAGTACCAACTCTAGCGGTGGTTGGGTGAGCGCTGGTTAGCGCGGAGGCACCGCGAGCAGCGTGCGGTGCCGGCTCCCGGTGAGGGAGCGAGAGGGGGCGTCAGCCAGCCAGGGGTCACTCTGGGGCGTGACCTGTTGTCACGTGACCGGACGATACTGGAGGGGGGCCACCGGTGGACGGGGGCCAAGGGGCAGTCACGTGGTGCCGCGGGGCTCTCGGAAACATTCGAGAAGGAGCTCGAGAAGCCTGGAAGGTGGGCGGGGCTGAGGGCAGAGCCAGCCCCGGGCCAGGAGCACATAATGAGAGCTCCGTGAGCAGCTCGGGGTTCTTCGTGTGTTGGTGTTGGAAGATCCACGTCGGGGAGAAGAAGCCTCTAGCCACGCGGTCCGGGACCCAGCTTGTGGTCCGGACCGGGATAGCGAACCGTGTCTAGATCTGCCGTAGCGTGGTGAGATGGGCATTCGAGACCTGAGCGTAGGTTGTGTTGTGTTGCGTACTGTTATGTGAATAAATAGTGTTGCTCCCAAGATAACGTCTGCGACTCAGTTGGACTCACTACAGATGTAAACACATAAATACATACGTGGCCACAAACTCCAGATGTCTGCATTATGCCTGTGCGTGTGTGAGCAGAGGAAGAGTATCTGCATGAGACGTACGCCAAATTCGAATCGATGGCTGTGCGTCCTGAACTCCCTCTCACAAAACAGCACCTCCACCCCAGACCCGCAGACTCAGAGGGCCGCTGAAGGCTGAGAGTGCCCATGATGAATTATATTGTTGATACAACCATATAATGAGCCGGTGGTATACTTCCACGAGTCACGATTTCCAATCTTGCTGCGTCTGCAGAAATGTGTCCCAAACCCTTAAGGGCTACGTCGACCTGGGAAATGATATCATCAACTGGGATGTGTTTAGGGGTGACTGCGAAATTCAACCCTTTTGCTTGAACCGATTTTAGGCTGTCGGAAATTGGGCTGTAGCTCTGATTGATAACAATCTTGTCACCATCTAACTTTTTAGTGTCTGGATCTGGCTTCTTCTTGGAGAGGAAGTTGAACTTGGAAATCAAGTTATTTTTGCATTCAGCTGACATTGAGGCGGCTGAAGAGGCTGCCATGTTATCTACATAGTCCCAATCAGATGTCGACATTTTTTCTGTCAATGTTAAGTGTGATTGCAAGAGGGTCTTGTCTAAATTGTCTAGTTCAAATCGGAGCAGTCTCATTCTCTCTGAGATCAGGGCTAGACTGGCCCTGGACAAGATCCGTTTAGCATTAGGAGAAGTGACAGCAACAGATGTGAGTGTGAAGGCGATCGGTATTACCTTGATGTCGTGGCATCTCTTCAGAAAAGTGAGCGACTCGATCAGATGAGCCTTCTTGTCTCGAAGTCTGTTAAAAGATCTAATAGTTGTGTGGAAACGCTCCCTGTAGAGGGGGTTAAATCTTGACTTAAAGCTTTCGTGACTCCAGGAATTCATATTCTTTGGGACTTTCGGTAAAGCGACATAGATAGAAAAAATTATCATAATAATAACAATATGGTGACGTTTAGATCGCAACACAAGCAATCGTCTTCAGGTGAAAAAAGAGGGGTAAATCTGTCGAGGCGGGCTGTTTATAAAGGTTTAGAGATGGGCGGGGCAGCTAAGGTTAATGTAGGAGAGGTCTCCGTCACCTTCAGTAGGTCTAAAGTTTACAAATGGTTTGAGATGGGCGGGGCAGCTAATGCCAATGTGGGGGAGGTACTACGGAACTGTGGGGGGTGGCCATTGTATTGTGAGAGATTAGCATGTCAATGTAAGAAATTTGAGGCTCGGCGACAGCTCGGACAGCGCAGTGGCCACATGGAGGTAGAAAAGAATGGCAAGCCGCCATTTACTAACACAGTTAGCGGTGGCTGTGTTAGTGAATGTAACTCAGAGAGTCGAAAATGACTGCTAGGTAGGATCGGAACATCACAGCCAGTTATGACTTAAACTGGTTGATAACGTCCTTCCAATGATTGCTCAGTTTGTACCCATCTTCTCGGTTGAAATTGTGTCTGTGTTTATATATCTGGATGGCTTCATGAATGAATCTATGTTGATAGCCAGTGGGTTTGCAGAGTCCCTTCATCTTGGCAAAATCAATTTCGTGTGTGCCCACAGCGTTAAATAAATTTTTTTTCTAACAGATTGGAAATAAGTAGGTTTTTAGGGTTAGGATTTACGGGTGGGTGAGGGATTAAGGATTATGGTTTAAGAATAGGGGTTATGGTTTAGAGTTTAGGGTTAGGGGTTAGGATTAAGGGTTGAGGGTTAAGGTTTAGGGTAAAGGGTTAAGGTTTAGTGTTAAAGGGTAGGGATAGGATTAAGTTTAGGGGTTAGGGTTTACAGTTATGGTTTAGTGGTTAGGGTTACAGTTTAAGGTTAGGATTAGAGTTTAGGGTTAGGGAGTAGGGGTTGGGTTAGGGGTTATGGTTAGGGGTTAGAGTAAGGGTTTAAGGTTAGGGGTTGGGGTTGGGGTTAGGGTTCGGGTTTGGGTTTAGTGTAAGGGTTTAGGATTTAAGGTTAGGGGTTAGGGGTTAGGGTTAGGGTTAGGGGGTTAGAATTTAGGGTTAGGGTAGGGTTAGGGTTTAGTGTTAGGGTTTAGGTTTATGGTTAAGGGTTATGGGTTCGTAATTGCGTAGTTAAGGTTAGGGGTTACGGTTAGGGTTAGGCGTTACAGGTTAGGGTTAGAGGGTAGGGGTTAGGGTATAGGGTTTGATGGTTAGGGTTAGGGTAGTGATTAGGGTATGGGGTTAGGGTTAGAGTCAGGTTAGGGTTAGGATTGGGGGTTAGGGGTTAGGGTTTAGGTTTATGGTTTAGGATTAGGGGTTAGGGTTAGGGGTTAGGCTATGGTTAGTTTGGGTTAGGGGTTACGGTTAGAGTTAGGGGTTAGGGTTAGGGGTTTGGTTTAGGGTTATGGTTAGGTTTAAGGGTCAGAGGTTAGGGTTAGGGTTAGTTAGGGTTAGGGGTTAGGGTAAGGGTTTCAGTTAGGTTCATGGGTTAGGGTTTTTGGGGTTAAGGTTAGGGGTTAGGGTTTAGGGTTAGGGTCAGGGGTTATGGTTAGGGTTTATTGTTAGGGTTAGGGGTTAGGGTTAGAGTTTGGGTTAGGGGCTAGGGGTTAGGGCTATGGTTAGGGTTTAGGGTTAGGGGTTATGGTTAGGGTAGTTAGGGTTAGGGTTAGGGGTTAGGGTTAGGGGTTAGGGTTATGGGTTAGGGGTTAGGGGTAAAGGGTTAAGGTTAGGGATTAGGGTTAGAGTTAGGCGTTAGGAGTTATGGTTAGGGTTTAGTATGCTATGTGTTACATTAAAAGTGGAAAATTTCATGATGAAATTTCACGTCCCACAAAAATATAATCACCATACTAACCTATGCCGTCTTTAGCCAAAAATGGCCAAACTTTCACAGCTTTATTTTTCAACAAAAGTGCATTCCTCCATTGTATTTTGCCTATGTATGCTATGTATTAGATTAAAAGTGGAAAATTTCACTATGAAATGTTGCAAAAATTTGACAATTTTTTACAGCTGTATTTTTTAACAAAAATGCATACCTCGGTTGTGTTTAGCCTGAGTATCCTATATATTTCATTAAACGTGGGAAATTTTACGATTACATTTTCACGTCTCAAAAAGAAAATCGGCATACTTAATCTACGCAGTATTTTGCCAAAATGAGCCAAATTTTCATAGCTTTATTTTTCAACAACAAGCGCATTCCTCCATTGTGTTTGCTGTAGTAAGCTACATATTACGTACATAATTGAAAATTTCACGATTATATTTTCACCTCACAGAAAGAAAATCGGCATACCTTTTCTTGGCCAAAAAGTAAATTGCCATACTAGCCTGTGCCGTTTTTGGACAAAATTGTGTTAAGGTTAGGGTTTGGGTGAGGGGTAGGGTTATGGGTTAGGATTAGGGGTTAGGGTTAGGGGTGAGGGTTAGGGTTTGGGTAAGGGTCAAGGTTAGGGGTTAGGGTTAGGGTAGGGTTTGGGTTAGGGTTGGGTTAGGGTTAGGGTTTAGGGTTAGGGTTTAGGGTTAGGTTAGGGTTCGGGTTAGGGTTTAGGGGTAGGGATTAGGGTTTTGTGGTTAGGGTTAGGTTTTAGGGTTTAGGGATAGGGTTAGTATGATATATAGATTAAAAGTGGGACATTTCACGATGAAACGTTCAAGTAAAATAAATCGAATTGGCGTACCGTTTTTAGCCAAAATAAGCCAAATTTTCACAGTTTTATTTTTCAACAAAAAGTGCATTCTTCGGTTTGGTTAGCCTTAGTATCCTATGTATTACATTAAAAGTCAGAAATTTCACGATGAAATGTTCATGTCCATAAAAAAATAAGCATACTGACCTATGTGGTTTTAGCCAAAATGAACTAAGTTTTAACATCTTAATTTTTTTACAAAACGTTAATTCCTCCTTTGTATTTAGCCTTAGTTAGGGGTTAGGGTTTAGGGTTAGTTAGGGTTAGTTTGGGTTAGTTAGGGTTTAGGGTTAGGGTTTGGGGTTAGGGTATAGGTTTAGGGTTAGGGTTAGTTAGGGTTAGTTTGGGTTAGGGTTTATGGATAGGGTTAGGGGTTAGGGTTAGGGTTAGGGGTTAGGGGTTAGGGTTAGGGGTTAAAGGTTAGGGGTTAGGGTTTAGGGTTAGGGTTAGTTTGGGTTAGTTAGGGTTAGGGTTTATGGCTAGGGGTTATGGTTAGGGGCTCCGGTTAGGGGTTAAGGGTTTGGGTTTGGGTTAGGGTTTAGGGTTAGGGTTTAGGGTTAGGTTTAGAGGGTTAGAGGAGGGTTAGAGGGTTAGGGGTTAGGGTTTATGGTTAGGGTTTAGGGGTTAAGGGTTTGGGTTAGGGTTTAGGGTTAGGGGTTAGGGTTTTGGTAAGGGGTTAGGGTTTAGGGATAGGATTAGGGCTAGATTTTTCCGACTCATATTGCAAAATCCGACCATGTCTGTCCAGTGCTCACCAAACTGCGTTGGCTTCCTGTTGCCGAACTCATACATTATAAGTTTGCACTCATTTCATACAAAGCGCTTGCCAAAAATGAACCACAATACCTTGCT